ACTTGTGTTGATTGCCTTGTCACTGGAACCAACAGCTCAAGCTGTCATTTTGCTATTGTTAACCATATTTCTATTAACAACACTAGATATCTCTCTATGCTGCAAATTTCATTATAAGCAAAAACTGTTTCCCATTTCCAACTTCAACTGCTAACCATTTCAGATTATTGTGTTGCTCTACCAGTGGATTCAATTATTTGAGCCAAGTCTGCATTAGCGCCGTGGAAAACACAGAAAAATGATCCTCCTCCGACTGTGAACACATTAGATAATTGAAGGTGCTGATCCGAGCAGTTTTCAATTCTTTTGACAGAAACCTAGAAGTGTGGATTTTGAGGGAACAGAGAAATTGCATTTGTTCCGTATTTCTGTTCAAATATAAATTTTGCAAAAAAGGAAATTACAGTTCTCCACAGTACACCATGTGGTACATAATTTTGTACTAGGCTTTCAAGAAATTATACAACTTACATGCTCAGTCTAGACTATGCAGAGTTCATATGCAGCATTTAAGGCAGCACATATGCTTGTAATGCATGGCTATATTCACGTTTGTGTCAGCATCTGTAGATGGGTTATGCCATTCTCTTCTTTCTTGGGTTTTTGAATACCGGAGATTATGCAGCATTTAAATGTGCTTTTGAAGGAAGGATGTAAAGCAATTGGTAGGGAAAGCCTCCCCCAGTCCCCTGTGTACTAAGAAATTTCAAGGTAGCACAGAACTCACTGCAAATGACCATAAGACAGGATCAATCCAGAAATGTTTTCTGTTATAATCACCAAATTAAGGCTGTAGAACTTACAAAAGAGATGGGTATTTCTGCTGAAAGCCTCTGAAATCATGAACATCCGGACATGAAACCCCAGCTCACAAGATCATCGTCCAAAAAGTGAAGTCCACTAAAGATATGCCGGAGGCCTTTGAAACTAATTCAGAGGAATTTATTTGGTTATTTGGTGGACACGTGGTCATCACGGTGAAGAACGAGAAGAGCAGAAGAAACCAGCAACTTCTCTGAAAACGCTGTTCTGCACAAATGCTTCCCGCTAGATCATGATTGCTGTCAAATGGATGCCACACAATGATCTATTCACTAGTCAATGCTTTTCAGTCTATCAACCTAAAACCATCCACAAAAAATGCCAGGGGAATGCTGACACATGACGACAGAAGAGTGCAGTAGTTCACAAGGCTGGAGAAGCACAGGCCACCATTCACTAGTTTGGATTTTAACAGCTGTATCACACGCACTAGAGCCCAGTCTTAGTCCTGATTGTCTACTATTTGTCCCAACTGCTGAAGTCTAGACGACTGCTGTAGATGAGTGGTTACAGCAGAAGTCAAGACTTTATTTAAGAGGTGATTGCTAGTTTGAAGAATAAGCTGACTGCCTAAAGACTTTCTATTCTGCTGAAGGATTCAGCTTCCTCTAAATGTTTCGAGACAGGTTTCCAATCACTTTGGTACAGGCTCTTCCCCAAAAAAAAACTTTGCTCAAAAACTCTCCTGGTTCATATTTGTACATCTGCATAAACTCTGGAACATGGTGAAGGTAATGTCCAAGTCTGAGCGCGCACGGCTCTCACTGAAACTGTCTTTCTCAGCCTGCTTATTGGGCTGCAACCGAAGAGTTTATCAGGAGAAAAGAAGTAGAAGAACTGAGAACGGTGAACTCAACTAGAAATAGATCCATCTTACACATGGAAAGTCAAAATAAATTAGAACATTGCAAGAATTGGAAAAGGCTTAAAATGTCTCAACAAAGCATTCCAAATGATTGAAAAATGTGAATTGCTGACTTCACGCAAATGTCGTCTCAAAAGGATATGTAATGAACTCTTAAAGTAATGTGACCCACCAGTACAGCACTTCATAGCTACTTAGATCTTTAAAAGGACCATATTTAAATAAAGGCAAAAGCAGACACACAGGACCGCATAATACAAATATGCGTCCTGTCAGCTTAATGTACTTGTAAAATTGAAAAAGAGTGGGGAACAATGGGAACTACTTTCACTACAAGTCACTAACTAAATGTATTTTATTGTTAATTGAATGGAATTCAGATTAGGAATTCAAATCCTACTACACAGTATGTGCCCATAAGGCCAGAAAAATTGCACACACTTTTCAATATAACATACAAGTGAATGTTAAAATCTTATATTTGAATGATGGTCATTATTTCACATATATTATCAATACAAAAAATACAAGATAGGTAAAAATGACAAAGTTACAATGTGAAAAAAACAGAACAAAAAGGACACACGCACTCCAAGGCAAAACAAAAGCTTGTTACACAAATTGATGATGTTGAGCACTGTCACACGGACTTGCTCATTCGAAGAAATGCAATATGAACAAGGAAAAGTTGTCACTTGCATTTTATTTTATACCATTACCTTTATTTATGGCCCTACCTGAACTACCACGCTTATCAGCAGCCAGATACGTTACTCAGATCAAACAACACTATTGAGCACATTTTAAAATTCCCCTTTGATTAGACTGTGAATAGAAGGCTCTATTCAGGCCCTCATGCTCAGCTGGATGAAATAGAAACAAAATGTCATCCATATTTCTGGTAGGTTTTTACAAGTCTGTGCTATACTGTATATTCTGCTTCAGACAAAAAAAAAAAGTTCATCCAGATCTTGGGTGGACATTCCTTTTACCTCCATAGTGAGAGAAATAGCTGCTTGGGGGAAAACCTTTTCATCACAGTTATTATTTCAGTGCTACAGATCTTTCCATTTTAATTAAATGCCATTTCCCCAAAACATGCATCCTATAAGAGCACAAGTCTCATACAACAGATATCTTGCTTTTAATCTTCATTCATCATTCATTACCTGAAACAGTGTTGCCATTAAGAAACCCACAATCCTAAAAATTCTTTAAGAGCAATCCTTTCTCCCCTCAGACACTTATAGGCCTTTGTCACAATCTGCACTTTCCCCATACTGCAGCACTGAAAACACAGTGATGCTCTGCCACCTAGTGCCAGTTTCAACATTTAGCGATTTTAATGAGCTAGGGCAACTGGGTAACAACTGGACAAAAAAAGGCTAGAAACACTGTTCAAATATCAAAGTTCTTTAGGACCAAGTGCATAATTCTGCACAGTTTTTGACATTATTGGCATATTTTTATTGCAGTTTCTCACAATGTTATACATTTATTTGCTTTATATTACAGTAGCAAGTCTACAAAATAAGTAGCACAGCTCAGACTACACACTTAGTGAGAAGGAATTCTTTGTAATAAAGAAAGCCTGAGCAAAATCAATCAAAGATGTGTGAATTAACATTAAAAGAAAAAAAAAACTTGCCTATTAACTTTAGTTCAATCTGTGCCAACTTACCAAACCTTGTTCATATTAATATTCTGTAAACCATACAGTTAAGAAACCAAAGCTGTGACTAATGCCAAATGCATGTTAAATTTATCATCCAAGATACTATGAAGTGTCTTGAAAAATTAAAATTGAGACTTTTATTGAAACCTTAGTTCTGGCTTGAAAATCAAAAATAGTCTCAAGATACAGTAGCAGTATTTTGCGGTTAAGTTTTCTTCATTTCTTTCTTCACCTGCTATATCAGCACTATACATTTTATTTCATTATTAAAATAAAAGCTCCAATTTAATATGCGCTTAGATACATGTAAAAAGAAACACATATTAATAACACTAAAGATGAATGATCAAATAAAAGACTATTCAACTGTCTGCTGTTTCAGTGAACAGTGTATGGAATTTAATTTGTTTGATGTAACCATCAAGGCAATCTAGTGAGTTTAACGTGCTTGAAAACTCACAGGAAAAAGTGTATAATCTAACTTCATAATTTGACACATTTGAGATTATGCAGTTTTTAAGGAAGCATATAACTCAAAACTGTCACTATATTTTGCATACATTTACAACGGATGTGTGAACTGAACGTTTTGTCTGTTTCCATGATTGATGATCCCGGTTGATCATGTTAAAACCACAATAGGCGCTTTGGCTAAGGAGCTGGGAGGTTGCCGGTTCAAATCCCGTGGCCAGCAGAGGAATCCTACTCTGTTGGGCCCCTGAGCAAGGCCCTTAACCCCAGGTGCTCCAGGGGTGCTGTATAAATGGCTGACCCTGCGCTCTGACCCCAAGCTTCTCTCCCCATCTGTGTGCCTGTGTGTCTCATGGAGAATAAACTGTGGTATGCGAAAAAACAAATTCCTAATGCAAGAAATTGTATATGGCTAATAAAGTGATCTTATCTTAATAATATAAATATATATGATATGTAATAACTTAATTTTTAGGACAATAACTGTTGCTTAAACATTCCTGAATAAAAAAGGCTACATAAAGAAGACATAAAATAAATCTAAGAACACAAGAAAGGTTACAGGGTGATGCAGTGGTAAGCACTGGTGCCCTGGGTTCAATTCCAGATCAGGGGTTCTCAAATAACAGGGTCGTAATTGCCACTGCAATTACCACTTATGTATCTTAAACTATCTGGGGAATAAGTGATCCAATTATGAATAGGCTCAACACATACTTTCAGAAAACCATCATAAGGTCATAAAACTCAACAACTCATTTTTCAGAAATGCAGTTGTTGAGATAATGGGTACTATTTTCTTGATGGGGTGTGGATACAGTAAGAAATGTATTGATTTTTAAAAATACAGCATATCTAGGAGAAAATGATCATGTAATCACTACTGTACAAATAGAAGAAAGAAACAGCGTTTGTTGATCTATATACAATTAAATTTTACCAGCTGAAGGAAAAATGGCACACATCTCAAAACCAACTTCATAGAGACACAACTGTCTCAAACTGCCACAAGTCTTGAACTTAAAGCATCAAAAAAATAAACCAGAGTGCAGTGCAAAATAGTTTTTGTATACTTTGGTTTATAGTTTATACAGTACATTCACTGTCAAAAAAAGCACTAGAAATTAGATGACACAAATTGCAGCATCTTACTTTGAAAATACATACCGTATTTATCTCGCAAACCAACAGTGCATCTGAAGACACCTCCAAAAGCAACATCTTCTCCAAAGATGACTGAAAAGCAAAAAAATGAACACACATTAGAACTGTATGGTAGAAAGTAGTAAAGTAGGCAAAATTGTAAATTTACATAAAATTCAGCAACAAAGTAAACCTTCTGCCACACTTATTTGATTCTTAGTGTTTAGAGACCCTCCACAAAACCTGAACCGATAAGCCCATAAGGCTTTTAGTGGTTACCATCCACCTGCATTCAGACAAGATCCAAAGTGATTTCTGTTCATAAATAGCACATTTTATTTTATGAATAAATCTACAAAATGGCAATACCCTTTCAATGTGTAACTAAGAAATAAAAACGCAGTAGCAGAGTATTCACACTGTAAACATAAACAATATAGAACTGTCATTTAATTTGACAAAACATTGTCTATCCTATAAACCAAACTGGAGAAAGAAACATCAAACTATTCCTGTCAGAAAAACGACCCTTTTCATCAGTGATTTTAAAAGTAATTAAGCATTGCTAAGTGGCAAAGGAATTTGTAAAGAGGAGCATTTGGGAAACATCCAATTTTATTTTGCCTGAGTGAGATAACTGTGATGGTTATGGTTATATAAATCCTCACAACCTCTAGACCAAACTGCTCTTTGAAGTAATTTTCTATATACAATAGCTAATGATATCTTAAGCAAATGATAGCTTATCTCAAGCAATAGAAGGAACAACCCCTACCTGAAAGTAAAATCATGAATTAATGTGCTCTTGGAACATTCAACTATTCCTACTCCCACTAGAAATCTGCAAACATAAGCAATTAATTTTGTTTTGGACTAGGTCTTACATTTCTGGAAGTGCATCGCTGACATCAAGGGAATCGTGGGCTATCGTGTGATTATCACATAAAGTACGCAATAATGGACTACTGAGAAATACTCATTTTCTCATAACTATGAGATGGCATAACTTTTTTTTTCTTTTCATGTCAGCCACACGCTTCTGGATAAATTAAAACTGTTGCCAGTGCCTATTTAAAAAATAATCATTGACATAGCCTCTGACGATGAAGTCACTAAACAACAGAATCTTGGTTTTCTCAACACAGTCTGTGCCACTTTATTTAACTATGTGACATCAAACAGCTGTAACATTTAACAACAGCTATGCAACGATTACCGGACTAGAAAGAGGGACAATTGATACCACAGAGCTATAATTTCATCACTTGCACAAAATGCTTAAGGATCTAAAATACACAAAATATCATCTGTTTGCAGTCTTATAGTCATTTCACAGGGACTCCAGACCCACATCAATTAAGACAGTCAATGAACAAATTAAGACACTATGGAGAATGGAGTACATGCACCAACTCCCTGTTTCTCATCAGCCAGCTAAAATCCAGCATGACTGAAAGAGCAGTCATTCAGAATACCCTGCTAAGACTTAAAGCACTGTCACAGTCAGTAAAATTAAGCTGTCATGTCAGATAAAAACAAACATAAAATGAGGTGTGGCTATAATTCTATACGATCAAATTGAAGTCTTAGAGTGCTAAACAATAATCAAAACATGCTGGACAGAAGCTACAGGATAACTTAGCTTGTGATAAAGGCAACCTTTTATTGGCAAATTTTCCAAAGGTTGTGAGTACACTCCCCACCATCAAATATGATACTGGGGCAAAACAGTCTTTCATGAAGGACTGGTCCCAAGAATGTAGTTGGAATACAAAGTTCACATTTTCCCTTATATTTAGCTACTTTTTTGTCCAAATATTATTTTTTAATTGTTTACAAGATATCTTAATCCAAGGTTACAATTTCTAAATCGAATCGTGTAATAACATAAGTCTATCTTGTTGGTTCAGAAAAAAATAATGACCAGCGTGTATCAGCAACCATTCTTGCAAATTGGTTGAAGCTGCAAAAATGTCAAACCACATTGCACAGTAGAGACAAAAAATAAATATTCACGACTATTTGTGTCGCATTTCAGGCCCAGTCCTGCTTTTTAATTATGACCATTTGAACAATTCATACTAGGCTACCATGCCTGCTGTGTGTGTAAAATTACAACTATTTTACTAGTCCCCACATAGTAGTAATATGAAGTAGGTTTTAGGACAAAAATATAATCATAACAAAAGTTACCTATTTTTATAAACAACATCTAATTACTTGTGCGCTGGTTATCTGTATGTCATGCTTAATACAGATTGAATATAGAATTGCTGAGATAAAAAGCAGAAACATTTTAATCAATATCTCTCCTGTAAATTTATGATCTTAGGCGGACTTGCTTCCTAAATTCAAAATTTCTGCACAGCTTTAAATATTCTATTTGATTGTTTTATAATTGGTAAGGGGTAAATGCATTCCTAAGGCAGCTTTTTTTTAATACTAGGTCAAAACACAAAGGTGCTAAATATCAATTCAGTTCTAATGCTAAATGAAGGACAAGTAGTTGTGTACCATAAATCACCCAAATATGTTAAGTACTGTGCGGTCACAACATCATTGCAAAACTGAATTCTAGTAGTGCACTTTGCCAGTCGAAGCTAAAACAAAGTAATACACCACTAAAGAGACAAACAGCAGTTAAACTTTTTTAAGATTCAGGCCTTAGGGAAAGTTAAATGACGTCATGTTTCATACAGCTCAGTTCACAACAAAAGCACATTTTATAAGTATACAGCATTTTGATTAGGTTTCATTCTTTAACTTGGTAATCTGCAAGTCAGCAGTTTAATGCAAACTCAGCAAAATGAGCCGTCACATCCTGTACAATACCTGCAGTGGGGTCATTGGCAAGGGTGTTGTCCAAGGCACTCGTTATTGATTGGAAAAAATTCATTTTTTGGGTCTGACCTAGAATTAAGAATATAAAACAATAACATTAGAAATAATCAAAAATACCTGATTGTCTTTGCCCAAATTAACAGGACATTTTTCAGAATAATCACCATGTTTAATGATCACATTCAGGGACTTAAATGAATTCATCAATAAGCTATTTCCGCAGAGGAAATCTAGCAAAAACTAAGATTTGCTGTCATTCATGTTCTTAAAAAAGACACATTACACTTCTCGTGCAGTATTTAATTGCCACAACATTTACTTTTGCTTCAAAACAGGAATAATTTAGATCAACATTTTTTTTACCTTTTTAAAACTCAAGAGAAGCTGAGGTTTTGAATGCCAGATTGATCAGATTGATTGAGAATACAGCACAACAAAAATATTTCGCAAAATAAAGCGTAGTAAAATCAAGAATTCTGTACTTCAAATATATTTATCTACTTAACCGTCTTCTCGAGTAAAATTTCAGGTATAATCTTCAGGTTCCATATCTGTCCACTAAAAAGAAACTTCACTTTGTTTAGTGGAGCTTCACAACTTGCTAGCGTTTAAAAAGTCAATATCATGTGAAAAATGGGACCTCAATGGCAATTTTTATTTAAAAAAACATAAATTAATATTAAAACCTTTAGGATATGTCATTCCCAGGAGCTATATAGATTTTAAGACACAATTACTTTGAAGCCGAGCATGTTTTATTTCGAAGAAATTGCATAATACGAGAAATAATATCTGACTTCTGTTAAAACGCATCCACCTAAAGAATATAGCATTAACACTTAGTGCGTCCAACAGTCTGTCCTCTATGTAAATAGAGCAAGGGCGCCTCAACTAGTCTTACCATGCTGAGTTGGTGTTGGGTCAGCCTGAAAAGTGAAGTGGGCAGCATGCCGTTTCTGTATTTTCAAATGGGAATCACAACTGGGGACCAGTTTAAGCGACACACCCCCAAATCGGCAGAGCAAAACACTGTTGATATTGTGGATAGTGGCTTTGCAAGAGCCTGCACTTCTCTGCAAGAACCGAGCCACGGCCGCCATTGTTGTTGGAACCAGGAAGAGAAACAACCTCCGAGGGCGGGACCAGGCGTACTGCGCTCTGGTTGGCGGAAAAGGAGGGCGGAGGTTTTTCTCCCCACACGTGGATGACCGGTTCACGGGAATGCTGAATGGAACGTCATTTTCAAGCTCCAGCGTATCTATGCAACGGACGAAAGGTTACCCTGGACCCAAGCGGAAGTGCGGCAGTAGACATCGCCAGTGTTTCATGGTTTTGATACATCTATTGGATATACAGTATTGGTGGGATTATTACTAGTTGTAATAGAAGTGTCAGAATAAACCTGCTGGCCCACGATGCCTGCCATTTGTCACCTTTATGCAAAGTAACAACCCCTGTTCTCAGATTTAATTTTACTTCTCGATTTCCACTTTGTGTTTCACTTTTAAGGATTTTGAACTCAGGTTCCAAACAAAAGTACCTAAAAAGGCTCGTCTCTAGGGATCCTTATCAGCAGCGTGTGAGGTTCTAACATTAAATGCATTCAGGTCCCGATTATAGTCTTTTCTGTTCGAAATTTAAATGTATTGAGTTGTTAACCCGTGAGTGCAGGACATGCCTTTAAGCTTGGGAATGCACCTCTGACGCTCTTCCTTGCACTGAGTATACGGCACCAATGTCTTTCTGAAACACATCATTATATCTTTAATATCTTTTAAGTTGCTTACCATTTTTATGTGGATGTTTTTTTCCTACCCGTGTGCCTCCACTTGTGTACATTACATCACCTGACAACTTTATAAAGTCATATTCTGTATTTTAATATTTTGAACCCCCTTGCTGCTCCTAGTTTTTTTTTATCTATACCAGAATCCACCCATCATCAGAAAGTTGCATACTAATGGTAACGTGAGTCAGCATTCTGGAAGTGATATTAATAATAATAATTGCTTACACTTATATAGCACTCAAAGTGCTTTACAGGTAATGGGGACTCCCCTCCACCACCACCATTGTGCAGCCCCACCTGGATGATGCACCTGCAGCCATTGTTCACCAGAACGCTCACCACACATCAGCTCTGTGGGGAGGAGAGCAGAGTGATGAAGCCAATTCAGAGATGGGGATTATTAGGAGGCCATGATTGGTAAGGGCCAATGGGAAATTTGGCCAGGACACCAGGGTTACACCCCTACATAGCAGAGAGTGATAGCAGTGTATCTCAACCTAAACAGCATATCATTGGAAGGAGGAAAAAAACACAAGGAGCTGTCAACTGAATATAAAAGGCATCTCATTCCAGAACTGAAATAGGAACTCAAAGAGTTGGGAGGCAGCAGTAGTGTCACACCACGATTCTGCTCTATACCAGGATCTACAGTACATCAAAACACATCTCTGGGGTATTCTATTAATAAGACTGCTCTGAACATTTATCACTTTTCTGTACTGCTGTTTGTTGACCTGGTCTCAGTCAGTTTCAATGATGGCTACAGCTGTCAGTTTAGAAATTAATATTTTTTGTAGAATATCACCATGAGACTTTTCAAAATCTAAGTCCTGGGACCAGAATCAGTACAAGCAATTTAATAAAAAAAGGCTTAACATTTTTATTGAATGGTGGAGAAATAAGCAATAGCTTAAAAGACATGTACAGTATTTATTAAACAGAACTACGGACAAGACATAAAAACATAACTGATATTTACAATTGAAATTAGATCTTAGAGACAAAATATATTGCATCTAGCCTTTCCAATTAGATCCTTTACAGTGATAACCTTAAACCTTATCTTCATAAGGATATGTAAACTAATTTTCTTAAAATATTTAGTTCTCCACACGTTAGTCTGCCCTCTTATAACTGATGTTAAATAGAATGAAACCTTTTACCCCTGAAAAAAAAACTTGAGTGGCAAACACTACGTGGTAGATTTCAGAAGGTAGTTTAAATAAATCCACAGCTCCACTCTCTCCCCTTAATTTAATCCAGTGTCCAATAACCTCATTTCATGAATGAGGTATCCATTTTTGAAGATGTTTCGTAATAACTCAGTCTGTTTTCTTGTTCTTCATTAATTTGGTTATGTTTTCCCTAAACGTACCATATAGGAGCACAAGCTTCCAGTAAAGATCTGGAAATCACACTGCTATAAAATCTGATTTTCACTCGTCCAGGAGTGGATATTTGACTAGATATCCTTGAGCTTGTGGCAAATTTGTATATGCTCTGTTTGAAACTGTTACTGCTGTTGCTTATTAAAAGAAGTTTATTTGCTTAGTTAAGCAAGATTCTCTAAATAAACAGAGTGGGGATTCCATTTTGGGCTTACACAGCCTGACCAAATTTCCTTCTTAATTCAATTGGTAAAATAATGTCACACATTTCCACCTTATCTGCTGTATAGTGTGGCTGCTGGCACAAACAGGCTGTCATGCAATACCCAGATGAGTGTTTTGCAATTCAGTGATGGATGCAGTAGATCCCCTTACATGTGAAGCCTTTTGGAATGAAAAGAGCTATATAAATGCAAGCAATCATTCACATCACAGTCATATACTGATGCAGCAGCTTGTGTTCCTACATTTATCTTTATGAACATGTCTGTCATTTAGATACAAGTACTTAACTGTAGAGTCCTTACAGTTTAACTCCCTGCTCTCCATTCTATAGATTTACCTTCTTTGTAGATCCATTTATTTAAAATATGTTCATCACACTAAGCTTTTTCACAGCTTTCCAGGGTCCCAAAAAGCTGAAGGCTCCTTCAGTACACCATGACCTCAGACATGTACGAACAAGGTCTGTCATTGCTTATCCATTTGTGTGGTCCTGAAAACTTCCAATTTGATCTCGATTTTCAGTTTACTAGATTTCTGAATTAGTTACTCATGGAATGACTGCTGGTTAGTCCACTGTTGTTTTAAGACATTAGGACTCTAGTGACCATCTTACCTTTTCTTATTTACTAATTCTATCTACCATATTAATTTGAGAATGTTTGGTATCTCATGAATTGCATCACATTTGCATAAATGTGGTTGAGTTTTCTAACGTGACAAACCTATGAACTGGTATGATAATATGGTATATTACGGAACATCCTCATACCCGAAGAAGGCTCTTCAGCCTAAACATTGTTTCCTTTTTTCTCTTTTTAGCATGGAATAAACCTTCACTTGTTCCATTAAACAATACTGCTAATGAACAATACTGGATTAAAATGCATTTATGAAGGTACATTTAGGCTTACAATACACTATTAATAAACACTTAAGATGATTATATTGAGCTTTCCATCTAATTTGCACAATTATACAAGAACTGAGCCAAATGCTTTTACATGGAAAACTGGTATAAATTGGTACCCCCTGAGAAAATAACAGGCGGCTTACAAAGAACAGTTTTATTTAACATATGCATTTACAAAAAGTGGCAAGTGAGATGAAGTAGCTAAATATCCAAAATATGATTATGTAGGATGTTTGTCAATTAGAGTACATCTTGTTTTATAATGGTTTATAACCCTACACCAGCTCTTTCTGGGTGTAGATCTCCAACAACTGTACAGCAAAGTGTTCACATGTGAGAAATACACCATAACTGAGAATAAAAACCTTTACGGAAACATCCAAGAGCAGTAGTCAGAAATCTAAACAACGAGCAGCTGCTGATAAGATCCCTGTTGAGGGTTCTGAGAAGTGTAATTTAAAAATAGCAATGATTGGCTGACAGAAAAGATGTTAGAAATGTTCATAAGTTTCCGCAACGGTCACAGCCATCCTGGTCTCAGGAGGAGTTAGTAGAAGGTTTCACGCATTCAGACGGGTCAAATTTTTTGCCAGTGCTGCACATCTTTGCCAAGTTCTAAAAGAAAAAAAAAGTTATTAGGTTAATTGCAATACCCTGACATACAAGTTTTATATTACGTATAGGAGAGGCAGAGTTAACCATAAAATTGCATTTTGTACATGTCAGGGGTGTGACTTTTAAACACAAGAACTGTTCGTGGGTTAATTACTGTTATATACAATGAGCCTACTGTAGTCTGCTCTTCTTGGACTAACACAGCACGTTTTCCTGGGAACTTTGTCCTTGCTCTTACCCTGAAGACAGATGTATCTCCTAGACTAATTACATCTGTGAGAGACTTTCTCACAATGTGTGTCATTTTTAATAAAGTACTGCATCACTATGGAGTCCCTTTGAATCAACAGTTTACACAGAGATATCAATTACACCATTAGAACCTATATAAGCCAACAGTCTTGCAAATACTATAGTCCTTTATGTCACTGATAAACTAATTTACACCTCCCATTGAGACGTCAGTATAAGCTGAAAATGTCATTAAAACTTGCATTAATACTTACATTGGCAGCTCTTGAAATGCTGTTTGGTGAATTTAAAGCTGCAAGACTGCTGAAGATTTGTTTCAGTTCTTGACTGTTGAACTGAACTGTAGAAAATGAAGCAATGTTAATTTTGTGCATCGTTTCTAGTAATTAGATACACAAATAGCACATTCAAACTCATAAAAAGAAATGCTTTCATCCATTACAGAAGGTCCAGATTTGGACTAAAATATAGATTTTAAACTCCAGCTTAAGACAAGTTTAATATTTAGAACTATGCACTAACAGGTTTGCTGAATGTATTCATTTCTACGTATGGAACCTAAATGTTATATTCTATCTTCTTTTCCTGCAGGGAAATTGGTCTCTACATAAGAGGATTTCACCTACTTTTTTAGCTGTTACATTGCTATATTCGATCATTTAGACCTAAATGCAGAGCAGATCCAAACTGAGAAAACGTATAAAACCTCACATTTGACAAAGAGTGGTCTGTATCTACATGTAGAATGTTGTATTAACCATTACCAAATGTTCATTTGGATCTTTTACTGTATTTAGAAAATTTAAGTCAATCTGTTTCTAAAAAAGAGGCAGATTTATTCAATGTGAATTTTTGTAATGGATCCTTTGCTACAATATATAAAGCAAATCCAAAGAAAATTCAAACAATATTACTAATGTATACACAAAACCAGCTAATTTAAAGATTTATGCTCTTATGTAGCAATATTATTTGTTCTTGCCCTTTACAATTGCCTGCATAAATAAGTCACCCTATTTAAGTTATATGACTTATAACTATAGTTTATAGTCTAATCAAGTGAATTTCATGCATTCATTTCACTTTTACAAATCCCAGGGTATTGAAAGCGTGTGATCTGTCTATTATTTGTTTCCATAATTGGCCTCCAGAGATTGTTTCAGTGCTCTAATCCAAAGCACCAGGCTCAAGCAATTTCTAGAATACAGTTTTTTGAGATATTACGGAAGTGTGACCTATACCAAGTGATACAGTGGCTATCAAAAGTATTCACCCCCC